AAGTCTCTTCTGCTCACCGAGGCTGCATTTATTTGATCAAAAATACTGTAAAAATTGTGATAGAGTATTACAATTTAAAATAACTGTGCAGATATTCTGTGTGAATGTTAAACTGTAATGTATTTCTGTGATGTGCAGCTGTATTTTCAGCATCATTCCTCCAGTCTTCAGTGTCACATGATCTTCAGAAATCAGTATAATATGCTGATCTGCTGCTCCAGAAACATTTCTGATTATTATCAATGTTGAAAACAGTCATGCTGCACGATATTTTTGTGGAAACTGTGATATATTACCATTTGAAAATTTAACAAAAGAAATGAATGCTTTTATTGATCAAGGATGCATTAAATTGATAAAGTGTCAGTAAAGACGTTTATAATGTTACAGAACATTTCTATTTCAAATAAATGCTGTTCTTTTAAACTTTCTGTTCATCTGTGAATCCTGAAAAATACAATGCATCAGTTTCCACAAAAATATCGTGCAGCACGACTGTGTTCAACATTGATAATAATCAGAAATGTTTCTGGAGCAGCAGATCAGCATATTATACTGATTTCTGAAGATCATGTGACACTGAAGACTGGAGTAATGATGCTGAAAATACAGCTGCGCATCACAGAAATACATTACAGTTTAACAGAGATTCACATAGAAAACAGCTGTTTTACATTGTAATAATATTTCACTATTTTTACTGTAGTCAAATAAATGCAGCCTCGGTGAGCAGAAGAGACTTCCTTTGCAAATATTTAATACTCGGGTATTGTATGTTTACATTTGTTACTAGAAACTAGTGTTTTGGGCCACCTAGCAACCACTCAGAGCACCTTAGCAACCACACAGTACTGTGGTAAGTTTGTTGTATTTGACAGAAAACGGTTGAGAGCGCTCCAGCGGATTACATGGTGAGGTTCGACATGTTCAGCAGCACTTATGAGCTCTACACACACAGGTAACCATGATGATGATGCTGCTGCAGGAAGGTGGTGTTTCCCGCTCTAAACATGTGCTCTTCTTCACAGTTACCTTGGAAACGGAATCAAAGCGGCACGTCTGTCGGCTCTGGGAGCGCTGGGTTCAGAGGGTACCAAACACTCACATCAACACACGTGATGTTCAATACGAGCGGCGACCGCTTCAGTCTTCATCTGACGTGTGTGTGTGTGTGTGTCTGTCTGTGTGTGTCTGTCTGTGTGTGTGTGTGTCTGTCTGTCTGTCTGTGTCTGT